CAGGGGGCCCACAGCCAGGATCCAAAGAATGATACAGGTGGCGATTAAGCGAGGTCCCGTGACGAGGTTACGCTTGTTGAATGGATCAAAACGAAGGATGATGAAGCGATGAAAGGCCACAGCTAAAGTACTGGTTATTCCGCAGATATCAGAGCCGCGAGTCAAAAGAAAGAGTGCAACCACCTGCAATGAATGAAAATTGTTTGAAATATTCGTGTCGCAGTAAAGACTATACACAAATAATATATGTTTGAGGATATTTTTCCTTGGGGTCCCACGTTTCATCTTCATTCGATGAGGAAAGTGGCTTTCAAAAGCGCGAGAATCATTATAATCCCTCTACTCCCATGCACTCTTGAGGGAAAATTCCCTTTTTTCAATGTGTGTGTGGGTTTGAAATAGTGCTTAAAATTTTCTATTGCGAAGCGACCAAGTCGGAGTAAAAGAATAAAACAAACCGAAAATATGGTAATAATTTGGAATGTTAGTGGTTTCCAACACTTCGTGCGTATTCCCAAGAGTCATGGTACCCTAGCTCTTACGAAGACGGCTCTCTTTATAGGACATTCAAGAGCAATTTTTGTAAGAGAAAACCGGAATAAAAATAAGACGAGATATTATATAGTAAAACAGATCATTAAGAATATTATCAGAACTTATTAACAGGGGTACGTATTCATAGGCGTACGAGACGAGCACTAAAGGCGCTGCAGCCCCTCCTCCCCCAATGGTGAAAATTACCATTATTCAGACAACCGTCACCTTGTTATAGGTGATTTAAATAAAATCCATGCAGTTAACTTAAAATTTGATGAAACATCTCCTTGTTAACGTACTAGCACGCAAAGCTGAGAAACGGTAAAATTGATGTTCGGTCAAGAGACGTAAGCTCCATTTGGTCGAATTGTGCCTATGAACTAAATGAATGAAAAGGGGCACTTTCGAGGTAGTTGAATTGGGGGTACGCTCGTTTTGCCCCCAAGCTGTGTGCCGTCAAGGATCATTCAGGTGTAGTGATTGCCTTTCATATAAAAAAAAAAAAAAAAAAGCGGTATCCGTTTTAAGTAATGCCCCAAAATACAAGCTCTGGTTTTAAGAGAATTTATCTTATCCTTTAAAATTCGAGTAAATTTATAATATGCTTATAGAAAATTATATAAAGAATTGTGACTATGAAAATGTTTAATAGAGGTGAAGACATAATAAAATCACTGACACGGCAATCATTTGAAGAAAGAAGAAATTATTGCTTTGCTGTTTTAATGTATAAATCCGTATATGGTATTGCACCAACACATCTATGTAATGCAATATCAACGGTTTGCGATATGCATAATATAAATAATATAGCAGCTAACACAATAAGTGTAATATTACCGAAATCTAATTTAGAATGCCCTAAGAGCATTTTTATGTATGCAAGAGGTGTTATCTGGAACTCATTACCTAGTACTTTTCAGAATTTGATGAGTATTTATTCATTCAAACACCTTTATAAACAACTGTATTTTCATTAAAAAGTGTACTAAATAACCAGTGACACCATATACACATTTATATCTTTTTTTAAACCTATTTAAATAAAATCTAAATGTCCTGAGCATTATACATCATCGGAACTGTATTTAAAACTATGAGTGTTGTTATTTATCATGTTGGTGTGGGAGTTGTTGGTGAGTGCTTATATTGCTTCGTTGACTGGTAGTTCAGGTGTATTGATGATCTATGTGCGTGTTGTGTTTCGTTTCCTATAATGTGTGCTGGGTGAGATTCTGATACTATAATACTATTGGAGAAAGAGTTAATAACATTTCGTGAGCATTTTCTTACTGTGTTTTAAATCGTTGGATAGTCTCATTTTTGTGATTCAGGGTAAATCTATCAATAATATTTTATCCATGTCTCTTGTCGCTGGTTATTTCACATCATTTCATATTATTTAATATTCCTGTAATATATTTTGTTTTGCTTCATTTCATTTGTTTGTATGTTATATACCGTTGTATATACCGTACAGGACCAATGTGAAAAACAGCCTTGGCTGATATTGTCATTCTGTATAAATATTTAAAATAAATAAATATATATTTTTGTATCCGAATTTATTTTGGATATCTGTCTTGTGCCGTCCACACAAATAATATATATATATATATATATGAATTTGGCTTTCCTTTAAGAGATAATTTTTCGTCTATGGATACAATCTAAACTACGGAAAGTAATTTTTTGGTCTAAATCACATATAATTTCTGACACTTTAAAGAATCGATTAGTGCACTCAAAAACTTAATATATTCATTCAAATGTTTTTTGTTGTTTTTGTTTTGAGAAATAAAATAACCTCTACTTACAAATTTTCCTTCGAGATACGATTGCAGGGTGGTGAAAAAAGCGAGAAAATTTGCGAAGCAGTCGGCCAAGGCGATGTTCAAAGTTAAGATATTCTGTTTCTTCCTCAGCTTTTTGCTGGCAACGATAGCGATCATGGTGATGCCATTAAGGATGATAGCTAGACCTTGAAAGCCAAGGGAAATGGCGAACCAGTAAAAGCTTTCCATGATGAAAATATAGACTTACTTGTGACGATGTTGATGATGCTGACAATAATGACGACGATGATGGTTGCGATGTCGATTAATGAAATTCTTGGTAAGAAAATGTGGAAAGAAATAGCAGGAATAGTTCCATCAGCAGAAAAAGGGTTATATTGGATCATTTTTTCCCGCTAAGTGACTTTTATATAGACAACGACTATGTTAACAAACTAGTCTCTGGTGGAGTGAACATTTTTATTTTCTTTAAAACGAGATACGTGCTGCTCTTATAATTATGATTTCTCAATATTCTTTGCTTTGCTTTCACGTTTCCGCTGAACAGAGAAGTCGGAGACGCTATTTCATGCTTTTCTCGTTTTTAAAAATATTTTCAAGTTTGATATATTCTGTTTTCTATAGATTTCCTGTTAAACTTACTCGCCCTTTCGGTGATATCGACTCGTGTTTGTGCGCTAGAAAACGTTTTTACTAGAAATTGATATACCTGGAATCCATTGAAATAAAATCAGTTCAAGTATTCTTTTTTGTTTCATTCCTATGTCAAAGGAGAATTTGTATTGACGTCCGTTTTCTAACTGCGCAGGCCTTTGCGCTCCATTGAAATAAATATTCTATAGAAATTCGATTTTATAGTCGATTAGTGAGACTGTGAGACTCTCATAAGGGGACACAAATAAACTATTAAAATTAAACAAACCAGAACGTCGGGTCTGTCTCTATGACCTATCTCTCTCTCTCTCTCTCTCTCTCTCTCTCTCTTCTCCGTCTTCCTGTCCCCATCCTCTCTGTTTCTCTTCTTCCTCCGTCATCTTCCTATATGATACTCTTCCTCTTTGTTACTCCGCCTCCATCCCCCTCTCCCTCTCTCACACTAAATTATTATGCTCTTATAATATTCCCTCCCTCTCCTCTTCTCTCTCACAGCTTCCTCTTCTACCCTATTCTCTGTTTCACATCTCGTTATAAAGGATACCATATCACTCTCCATCTGCCACCCTCCGTCTCATCCATATATCTCTCTCTACCTATCCGTGCATTTCCTGTTCTAAAATTCCAATTCTGGTCATCTTCTTTTAGTTACAATGCCTTCGGTAGAGGTGGTTCAAATGAATAAATTCTATGAGTATTTTGTTAAGGCTTTGGAGACTCTAGCTCGGTAAGATAACAATGATTTACCTTGTTCATAGTATATTACAATCATTTATTAATCACTGTAAAGTGGATAATCTTTTAAGAAGTGGAAAACGGGAACTTTTTAGTAGACCGTATTAAAAAGAGAATCGAGGTTTTTTTTTCTTCAAAGTTGTAGGGGCTGGAGAGGAGAGTGATATGAAACGAGCCCCTGTTTTTAGACAACTTTAACGCGTTGATGTCTCACGCAGTCAAGTTTTACATTTATTAACAATTTAAGGCATTTTAATGGTATTCAATATTTCACTGGCTGCAGAGGTATACCTCCATTCCTTGCCAACAAGATTTACATTTACTATACATGTACATTATAAGGTGGTCAAGTATTCCTCTGGAGATATTCAAAATACATTTCACAACATATCCCAAATTCCGTTACTTCAGTTTTATTGGTGATACACTTAACATTTTTAAAAATGTTAATGATTGTTCTATTTTAAAAACTACATGGTTCGATAAGTAAATATTAATAATAATAATAATAATAATAATAATAATACATTTATAGAGCGCAGAAACTATCCAACATTCAGTATATATTCTACTGCGCTATAAGAGCTCCTGATATGCTTAGATTTACAGTTAATTAAAAATATGTGTTTTCAGTTTCGATTTAAAGACATTTACAGATGGTGATTTCCTGACTTCAAATGGCAAGTTATTCCAGAGTTTTGGGGCTGCATAAGCAAATGCTCGATCACCTAGCGTTATTTTTGTTTTGATAGATGGGATCCGAAGCAACAAAGTATCTCGGGAACTGCGCAAGTTACGATTGTGTTGATTAGGTATTAAGCATTTCTGCCTTTTTTTTTACCAGTTTAGGTTTGAATGTACCGATGTGAGCAGAACTCTGAATATCCTCAAAAGCGAGTTCCATACGTTTCCACCTCTGTACATCAATATAATTATGTTTTCCCCTAATTTCAACGCAAAGATTACTTTGACGGGTGTCGTAGAAACGTATCGCTGTGAAACTTCTCACTTACATAAAAATGGGCCTTGGTTTGTCAAAGCCTTATACATCAATACTACTATACTTTCTCGTATCAGTCAGCGAGGGATTCTCAAATCAGAAGTTCCAGGTTTTCCCTTGCCGATTAATATCAATGTGTATTGTTGATGAGACGAGGGCTTTGCAAGCTCACAGTCAGAACCCAACTCCCTGGTAATCCTAACAAATAAAAACACTAGGTAACAATAGGCACAAAAGCAAACGTGAGTGAATGCCATATATTTAGCCAGGGTCGTTTCCACAAGGGATTGTACTCGGGTCATGTCAGATCATGACCTGTGTACAGCGTTCCAACGTAAAATCTGCGCTGCACACGTAACTCCTTCGATTGAGTACGTGTGCGGATCAAGTTGCTAAACGTATACCCATCACGGTCGCACTCTCCCTGATCGAGTGGCATACTCGGACTTTGAGCTTGACTTCGAGAAAGCGTCAACATGTGGAAACGACTGATTCTTGTGGTGCTTGTTGCGGCTGTTGTACGCCATGTGTTTACTTTCCTGTGAGTTTTATAAAACAAGGATCAATATTTCATTGTGATTCGATCGGGGTGTAGATATATATATGCCAGTACTGTGAATGTTTGAGCATGTTTGTCCATCCATACGAGCGCCTTGGTCCAATAAACCGGTTTACTAACATATTCGAAGTGTATGCATACTTTTTGACAAAGGTTGTTCTCGGCAACCTGAAAGCTTTCGAGGCGCTTGTCCGACATAGCAACAAACACTGTTTGATGACTGGAATCCAAGTATTGTATTTCATTCATTAATAACAGGTTAAATGGAATAGCTCGTCACTAGGTCCCCATAGGAAAGAAAACATCCATATAACTTTGAATATGTTAGTAAACCGGTATATAAACTATAGGAGCGCAAAGATTTGGAAGCGCCCGTACAATGCAACGCTCCTTCAGCTTCAGTAGGCTATATTATACTTGTTGAGCATTTTTTGAGAGATGATTATTCGATTTGATTTATGATAAGTCGTTGTGTATTGTAATAATAATTATAAGTCACATTTGTATGGCGCTTCATATACGTTCTAAGCGCTTTACATTAAAAAAATTATACCCTGGTCAATTAGTGCCCATGCTCCTCTCCCTGGGGAAAATTCCGACCCGGCTCCAATAACAAACGCACACGTTCTAATCCATTCGCATCCTGCGGGTATCCATTTATAACAAATGGGTTGAGAGAAGCAATGTGGATAAAATACCTTACTTTGGGTATAGTGCGCCGAATCGAACCCACGACCTTCGCATTTCCAGTTTTTAATCAACTCAACCACGATATCGCTACATATCTGAACGTTATGATTCCCCTTTAGGACAATATTTGGGTTCAAGTTATGACATGGAGTTGGAGTGGAAGTCCCATTTCCTCGTATGTTTTAAATAGGCTATACAACACATTTCATAATACGTTGCTTCATGAAGCTAGGTGTATTTAAAAACTACTGAATTAATTGTGGACTGACTCTACTATGCGACATGAGTATTTACTTTATACCAAAGTCTCGATAAGACTGATTAGCTTACGAGTATAATGTCAATATGTAACCAGATTGGGATATTATACATCTGATGTGTGATTGTGTTTATAAACCCGGCGTTTAACAAAGCGCGAGTGTTTATACAGAGGCAAATTGAAATCAACATGATTGGCATTTAATCAAAATTGAAAGCTGATCGGGAAGCCGGTTGTCTATAACTTTCGGTTTAATACTTCCTCTATGCTTCTCGTACCAGCATGTGACATGCTTGTTTACGACAACAATATGGTCAATATGGTTCCTTTTCTGCCACTCTGGCTGCATCTCAATGGTGATATTAATGACGTTTTGTACAGCGGTAAAGATGTGTCATCTTCCAGGTCAACTCAATTTCCGAGACTTCCTCCCAGAGGCTTTCTTCTCATGTACTACTCGCACCCTACCAGGCCCTATGGACTTTTAACACAAATTTAGGCAATGTATATGCCATTAATTTTACATCAGTATTTGATTTCTAATGGGAACATTCCCCGAGATCATAAATTAATAACTTTTAATACACACTTTGTATGATTTTCTCCGATTTGGGCTGAACATCATTGATCAGATTTATGATCAGAAGGCAGCATCCTAAAGGGGGCATACGTGCACCCTTAGGGGTGCATGTAGACATTTGCTACAAAAACACCAACCCATAGGGTGCAATTCTGCATCCTACTTTGGGGTGCAAACTTGCCCCCTAGAGGGAGCACATGTGCACCATTAGGTGATCCCTATCGCACCTCAAAATGGTCAAGGGGTAACAATTTTACAATACTTGTTTAGGAGTACACTTTTGTGAAATACCCGTTTAGGGTGTGAATTCGGGAAAGAACCACCCGAAATCCTCATTTCAGGTGTATTTTGGCTTCAGACGAAATCCTCGTTTAGGGGTTGTTTGGAAAACCTGTTGTCACTCGATCAAGCTTACAGTATTTTTACATGAATGAGACCCCTGGGCAGTCGCCCAGAGTGGACTTTACTTTTTATGATAGACAGGCCTCATTAAAATATACTACGCACTTGTATCAATTGTTAAAGAAATCTCATTATCATAAAGTTACCTCATCTTCGAGGTTTGGAGGCAAACTGAATTAATTTTCTGTCGGGTCACAGTTTCTTTGCTTGAAAGTCCTCAGTCCTGTACACACATTAATTGGTATAGTTAAACCCAAATTGGTGTCGGCGAATTATGATTTTATCAATATCATGCACATGGAAACAAACGACCATATTTATGGCCCATGCGCAAGGATGACACGCAAAATCGTAAAGCGTTCCAAAATAATCGGGGTATTAATGAATACTACTTTTCAATGTTTGGGAAAACCGTTCGTTGTATACTCCGCCTATACCGTTATACAATAATGAGCACTGTCTAGACGCTCTATATAAGTTGATCGGATCAATAATGGCGTATTGTTAAACACAAAGACACACCTGCCTGTGTACTAAGATCTCTCTGTCAATCTTTCGTAGCGAACGTGGGTCCATTCATGCAGTAATGCGGGTGGGGGGGGGGGGGGGTATATCGCTAGACTTACTGAAGTCGAGCGGGATTCGTGATTGACAACATAAAATAATGTGCAGAGTCATCGGGCAGAATAGTCTTCTTAAAGGTTCTTGTATCTCTTATTTGTTTAACTTTCTTTCTTTCTCGCTCTCTTTTCCGTCCCCTCTCTCTAGCTTTCTCCCTCTTTCTCCATTCTAGGTTCAAGCCAGAGGTGGCGCCCCTGTAGGGGGTGGGGAGGGGGAGGGGGGCACCCCATTTTTCAAGTACCTCCAAAGTGCCCCTTTTTCATAGGAAAAGTGAACCTTACCCTTTTCACCTCTTAATTGTGTCCCTTTTATTTCGACAAGTTTTCATTTTCCTTTGCAATAAGTGTCCATTTTCCATTCTCATAAGTGTCCTTTTTAATCTCTAGCAAGTGCCCCTTTTCACTACGAGAAGTGCCCTTCCCCTTAAATAACTACCTCTTTATGTTTTTTATTATTTTATATCCACATGTGCGCCTTTTAGTTATGATAAGTGCCCCCATTAAAAAAAAAGACCTCCCTCCTCTTCTCACAAATGCATCTTTTCACCTATGAAAAGTGTCCCTTTTCATTCTCATAAGTGCACCTTTTCATCTCTGGTAAATAACCATTTTCATGTACAGGGTTACTCCTTTTCAATTTAGATAATTGCCCCCTTCACCTCTCATCATTAAACGTGTCCCTTATTGAAAGCAACTTAGAGCAAGTTCCCCCAAAGATCGCTCGCTACGCTCACTCGCATTTATAGATGATATAATTGTGTTACTTATCAAAAGTCTTTTCAGTTTTCCGTTATGAGAATATGCTATATAACCCCATCAGGATTGTTTTTTCCTCTTTATAAGATGTATTTTTTCGCACTGCGACCTCACAAATCTTTAATTTTTTCCTCGTCGCAAATAAATATTCTGACCATCACACCCAACCGCAAAGTATGATGCTTAAGCAATATCTTGTAAGATGTATAAAAAGAAACAAATATTGAAAGCATCCCAGATAATGTAATCACAATGTAGGGGTATATACAAGTCATGTACCAATGTCTAAAAATGTGTATAATTTCGCTTTGACATTTCCCTTTGTATATAGGTGTCATTTCCCCCAGAAAGTGCCCCTTTTGTAGGTGCCCCCCACCCCCAACTTTGGAAGTCGCTTTGCCGCCCCTGGTTTTAGCTGCGTTTTGCTGGGAAAGGGTTTCACTTTAGAATCATGATTCTTACTTTTGTTTCTTTCTCTTTCTGTTGATAATAATATGCGTATTGTTTGATTTGCTTACAGCAAACATGACATTTTTAAAGGTATTATTTCCGTGCTGGTAGCTTTAAAAAATTGCAATTTTCAGCTTTGCTCCACTAATAAAAGATTCAAACATGAGTAAAATTTAAAAGAAAATATATTTTGAAAATATTTTCGAAACTTATTGATACTGTATGATACCATGTATCCTATTTTTGGTATGCTGTTGAATTTTGTTACTATTCGCCGTTTACTATTTTATTTTAAATCTATTATTAACCTTTTTTTCTGCAGAAAGGTTCTCGGTTTAGAGAAGACCGTTTACAATCACAAACCTGGTAATTGTCAGTTTGTTCGTGGAATAGGTAAGTCTTCTTTGTCATTTTTGTTGTTGTTGTACTATCCTATCTTTAAAAAAATCTAAATGTTCTTCTCCTACTACGCTATCTGTCGATTCTAATAATAGTAGAAAGTAGAAACTGATAATACAATATCAATAGAGCGCATACAAACAATGAAGTTTCTTTATGAGCTGCATTAGCGAAATGTGAAAAGTACAAAATATTTTAATAGAATTTATTTCCACAAAACATGAAATAAAATGAAACAATCAAATAAAGTGGAGGGATAACAAACTTTAATATATACACTTATCTAGGTTAATCCCTTGAACAATTTCAACGAAAATAGGTGGACAAAGTAAATGAATTGCAAATTAATTTTTGTTTAAGAGTAATTTCTTTAGATCTGTTGCCAATGAGATCAATTGGGCGGGAAATTTAAACCTGTTTTATTTCATATGAATTACGATTAATCGTTTGTTGTAGAACATGGCTCGGAGGATCTGTCATGTTGTAGTTATTGTACTATCCTATTTAAAAAAAAAATCAAATGTTCTTCTCCTACTAGGCTTTCTGTCGACAATAATGGTAGAAACTAGAAACTTATAATACAATATTAATAAAGCGCATACAAACATTGCAGTTTCTTTATGAGCTGTACAAGCGAAATGTGAAAAGTACAAAATATTTGAATAGAATTTATTTCCACAAAACATGAAATAAAATGATACAATCAAATAAAGTGGAGGGATAACAAAATTTTAATATAAACTCTTATCTAGGTTAATCCAATAAACAATATCAACGGAAATAGGTTGACAAAGTAAATGAATTGCAAATTAATTTTTGTTTAAGAGTAAATCAAACCTGTTTTATTTCATATGAATTACGACTAATCGTTTGTTGTAGAACATGGCTCGGAGGATCTAGAACTACTCTCAGATGGCATCGTGATCATATCAGAGGTAAATAATTTGATTTTTAATCATAATATTACATAAGAGACACATGCCATTATTTCTTGGAAATGATCATCAAAAACATTTATTTGAACGATTCAAGTCGCTTTCACTTGTATGATTTCAAGTTTTAAATGAATATAATTATTAGGCAGGAAAAAAAATGAAATTCCCATCCATGATCAGTTTGCCATACCAATGTGTACACGTCGAGAAAGAGAGAGAGAGATAAGGGGAGGGAAGGAGAGAGAGAGAGAGAGAGAGAGGGGGAGAGAGAGAGAGAGAGAGAGAGAGAGAGAGAAGGTGAGAGAGAGAGAGAGGGGGGGGGGGGTAGAACAGAGAAACGAAGTAAAGGGAGAGAGGATAGCATGGTGAAAATAAGATGATATGAGACTCTCTTCTAGATCCCCCCATCCACTCGACGCCCTCATCCTCTCATTTTATCCAGTTAGGTTGAGGGACTGTGATCCCCGAAAGAAACCGATGCCGCTTGATAAATTATAACCGGGCCTACGCTTCTCCCATGATTCAGATATGCTCACTGCACACGAGGCGTAATTTCGATTGCGTTATTTCCCGCGCTCATTGAGCCGGTCAAGACAATTATAGCCTACATCTTAGCAAAAGCATCGTTTATAATGTTTATTTTGTTATCACTAACTGATAACAAGCGAGTGATGATGCTTGAGTACAGGACCCGGAAATCGCTCTATGTACGCCTTTAACGAAAGATGGCGCAACTGAAAATAAAATTACAGCAGTGGTTGCGATGGTCGGTAAAATACCCTGCCCTTAACTATTTCAGATCCCAACCATTTCCATCTCTATCCCTTCTCAGGGCTACCTGACTTTCAAGGACCGTGTAGAAGGAGCACCTCGAGGACATCTGTTTGCTTACGACATCAATCATCACAACAACGGAGCCACCGAGCTAAAAATCACTGGCGACTACGATGTCGAGAAGCTTCATCCGCACGGCATCACCGCCTTCGAAGATAAAAAGACAAGTGAGACATTTATTAGAGATTTTTTCTTACCCTCCTTCAAATAACAGCATTAAATAAGAAATAAAGGATTTTCGAATATAACGGAATAAGCAATGATAAGATGGAGTTGAGGCCTTGAGCGCCCTTTGGTTGAATATCTGCATTGTAATTATTACTATCGCTATTATCATTATGATATTTGTTTACTGTTAAAAGTTTATTTCAAATGACTTTTTCATACCAAATCATAGATTTATCTAGTATCAACTTCCTATGCTATACATGGAGACGTGTCAATTCAAGTACATTGAAAATATGACATCAACGATTAAAAAGCAAATTCAATGTTTGCATCTAAAAGTTCTTCCCTGTCAATTTTTTTTCGAAAAATAATGAGTAAAGAGGAAGGTACATGTAGGCAGAATTACTTCTTCTCCATAATTATGTATTTATAACAAATTGTCTGTGCTTGTTTTACTTTCTTCTTTTTGTCTATTTATAGAAAAGACGTTTCTCTTGGTAATAAATCATCATGTTAGATTCGATGTCGTGGATGTGTTTGAATTCCATCGAAGCTCGATGTCCTTATCATTCATCAAATCGATGAGAGATCCTTTGATGACGAGGTAGGAGACAACATTCGATTTGTATTCTGTTTATATTCTGTCCATTGAATCGTTTTAACAGTTGCACACGAGCGGTGTAATTTCGTTTGCGTTATGCTCTGCGCCAATCATATCGCAGTCATTAAACGCAATGTTTCGCACAGTTAGCACCCTTAAAGGGACTTGGTAACAATGTTCAGGTGACAGAAAGTGGTGTTAAGGTAGTGACTTCAGTGCTAGATGTAAAATTAAAGATAACTGAAAATTTGAGTGAAAACGGACCATTATTAATGATACAAATTGGGAAAAAACTGATCTGATCGATTCCTTAATTCTCCAAACTATATTTTTACAGTTTAATTACATTTTAGGTGAATATAAATCGTCACAAAGCAATAAATTGGCTCTAGCCTACATGCCATTCCAGACATTTAAGTGTTGAAAGATTTTTTAATAGCCTGTTTTATGTCTTTTTTTCATGGAAAAACGGTTGGGAAAATTGAAAAATGGTTGGGAGAATTTGAGAATTTTGTCAGGACTTTTTGCATGTCAGAGGGTTAGTACAGTAGTAGGAATATAATAAGTAACATTTTATACAAAAATTAAGCAATTTTTTCATCAACCTTCAACAATGTTACCGAGTCACTTTAATTATGCATCCGTTTTTTTTTTTTAGAGGGGGGGGGGGGCGTACGATCTTCTCCCCCCCTGGCTTGTCAGAGACCGCTTGGGTAGCTGACGCACTCCTACGTCAGGAAAATGACGCTTCGTGCACAATCGTTTGTTTTGAAAAGTGTTGCCTTTCCTTCATATCGTCCTAGCCTGCCTTATCCATTGTGCTCAAAGATTCGAATAGGGGATATTAGGGTGTTTTGTCTTGCATTACTCTATTTGTAAATACAAGATGTATCAGCTTTCGGCTGGGACTTTGAATTTTTATCAATAAACCTCGTCATTTCAATTCAAGTCGATTCAAAGTTCATTAACACCTCCAACACAGGAGCTATGGTTGCCTCAATGGAATAATTTTTAATACTTTTTAACACTCATCATACCTTCTGAATGGAATTTGTATTACATTTTATCGCAGTTTTTCCTATGTTACAGTTAATTGAATTCACGTATCTGTATACATTTTATTTGTTTTGATGTAAACATTTATTCATTTTTGCTAGCAGAATTTTTTTTAAATCTTTTTGTTTTTTGTTTTGTATTACTGCTTTGATGTGTTGATGTAAACATTTATTCATTTTTATATATTTCTTCTCATTTGCTGTGTTTTCTTTATATATATATATATATATATAAATATATATTTATATTTTTGAATGCTTTTTTTAAGTAGATTGTATGTTTGAAGTAAACTTGAATTTTTAGTCTTTGGAATTTTTGACAAGTCTCGAATAAAACCTCATTTGAATTGAATACATGTGGGATACATTTTGACCGGTAATAGTTGGGGGGGGGGGGGGGTTGAGGCACCATTTTCCAACAAACGGTATAAACACGTTCATTAAATAATTATTATTGGACAATAGTACACAAACATGTACCTCACTTAGTAGGAGATGTACACACAAACGTTTATTTTTACTTTTTAATGAAATCTTAATTTTACAGTATCTCCATTGGCTTCCTGATTAATACCGTATATATATTATTAGTTACTCCTGCTTGTATGTCATTCTTTACATGGGTCTGCCTCTCAGTATGATCGTGGTTTAATCAACCTATTCAATCTTTCTAGACATCTCAGATCATCAAATTCATCTCTATTGGTCGCACCACAAACTCGAAATTCTTAGGGGATAGGGCTTTTTCACATGGCGGTCCATTACTAGAACAAAACTGCCACAATCTATTCGTAATTTGCCATCTGGCAATGAATTTAAATTCGCACCCAAGACATACGTGTTCACTGCCGTATACTGTTAAGTTGTCGTATACTGCTAAGTATTACGTGTAGTGTATCATATGAATTCATGTATAATGTTTATACTCATGTTCATGTTTATGTGACTATTTCTACTCTCATTTTCTATTGCGCCATTATAATCACTAACCTGATGGATACCGGCGCATTATAAATGACTTGTTCATATTATTATTGTTATTACTATGATAACACACCCTTATTATAGAATAATAACTTATTTCCACCTCTTTTTTTAGCGTGAACAATTTGATAGCGACAGGCCCAGAAGAGTTTTACATTACGAACGAGGCTTACTTTCTACATCCACGTATGAGGGATCTTGAAAATTTCCTAGTGATGCGAATGGGTTCTGTTCTTTATTGTGACGTCACTGGCTGCAAGAAAGCAACGGAATCGCTGAACAATCCCAATGGTATCGATCTTTCCAGGGACGGCAGGTGAAGCTGATAATTATTCATTTATTCATTTATTTATTTATTCATTTATTTATTAATTTATTCACTATTATTAAGTTTCTCATTTATATATTTACACATTTTCATTTGATTGTTTTCTTGTTTGTTTGTTCATTAATGTGTTTAAAAAAAATATACTTCTGATAGATTGATCTCTTTTTTGGTGCATTTATCTATTCATTTTTTTTTTTTTTGTATTTATTCGTTCAGTAATTTTTTTAAATCATTCCTTTTTCTTATTTGTTTTTTCACTTTTTTTTTACTTTGTATTTATTTATTCATTTATTTATTCATTTATTTATCTATTCATTTATCTATCTATGTGTTTGCTTATTGTTTGTGAATTGACGGATTGCAAGGTAACAATGTAATTCGACGCTTCAGATATTACGGCACTCATTGATAATCATATTCTTATGCAATAGAATGTTATTAAATCTGAATGATTTCATTTGTTATCCAGGTACCTGTATGTTTCACAACCGTTTACCAGACAAGTGCGCATCTACAAAAGGGACCCTTCTGACAACACACTAACAGCAAACGAGGTATACAAGTTTTTATTGAATACTTTCGATCCTTAAACTTGTCTTGTGAAAATGATTTTTAGTCTAGATGACTGCAAGTGCCTAAAAGAAGACAGTAGTATTACTGACGGGGCTACCATGGTTAAACAAGACATATTACATAACAAAGCGGTGGGGTTGCGAATTTTAACATAAGCTATTTTCTGTTTACTACGTAGCCAAAGAATTCAGAAAAAGTAAAATAAATGTTTTTGGTCAATGCTGAACCTCGAATATTCCCAAATTTTTACTGTAGTTTATTGAGTCGCAATAAAGAGCAAATCAAAGAATATTTCAAATTTCTAACCCATAAGAAACGCTTTTTGTAAGCTGTGATTTGTTTTGGGGTGCAACAATTAAAAGATCCTGGTGGAACACATGCAAGAGAGCAAAGCGACCGAGCTTTGGAAATGTTCTGCATCTTAAACCCTCCAAAACTCTATATTTAATAAAATTTACCCTTGTTATTTGGGGCGCATAATACTTAAGGATCATGAGTTTTATTCCTTTTCTCCCCTTTTCCTTTCCCTCTTTTGCGCTTTTTGCGCCCCCCCCCCCTCCCTCCCCCTCCCTCCCCCGCCTGGGGCACGTGCCCCCTATCCTCCTTAGATACGCCACTGTGTGTAAAAAGTCAAATTACTTCAAATAAGCTATAACAAAAAGAATAATAATAATACTTTGTAGTCTCTGCCAGAACTCACGTCACAATTTAGCACAAAGCTTTTTACAGAGGATTGCAAATTATTGAATTATTTTTATTTCATACCTATACGATCTATCAATAAAATTCAAGACATATTCACTGTTTTCTATTTATTGCAGTATTTTCTAAAGAAAATGCTTGATAACCTATTGTTTTGTTCATATCATGGCAGGGGGTTCACGTTATTGACCTCGGGACCGTTGCTGACAATGTGTATGTCGATGAATCTGGCGATGTATGGCTTGGATGCTTACCGGTTGCTCACAAAGCTTTAACTTACATTGATACAAAGAAAGGATTGGTCCCATCACAGGTATGACATTATTATGTATTTCATTGAAGGTCTATTTTTTCTGTGCTTGTAATTTTGTTTTAATTCAAATATCAGGCGTTTGGCATGTAACCAGCAGACACAGAAACTATTTTGAAACTTAAACAAATATCCATAAAACCTTAGCCTAGCCTAGCCTCACTTTGTGAGTCTCTAAGTACCTTAGCAGAACTCATTTTCCCCTCGGACAGTAACTGCGTGGAATGCACTTTCAAAGATCACCCTTGACGCTACTTCACTGGAGGGCTTCAAGGGAGCGCTTCCACCAAGCATCTAGACCAAGAACTAGGTAGTTTATTCCTCAGCACTACATCCTGATTTATGGATCCTGCTGAGTATCGTCGTAGAAGAAGTAGTAGATAGCTAGTACAGGACGTCTGAAGAGCAATAGGCTGTATCGGTATCCTTACAGACCAGGGCCCTGATTCATGAAACCTGCCATCAATAACAAGTTAGGATAATTGTTATAAGCTACTGAAATCCCTGCATTTGATTGGCTGTGAGCAGATTTGTCATAGATCTGTGGCAGTTGTTATGGATAACAAGTTTTATGAAACAGGGCCTAGACACTCTTTTAGGAGTCGTTTCAGAATCAACTTCGCTGTGGAATGGTTATCTACGCTGAATATGTAATTCTTGTACTAATGAAATAGCGGAGCTTTAGAATTACTCTCAAAAGAGCAATCCTAAAACTCCACTATTTGGAATGGCTTTTAATATGATTTTGGATTAGATTCAACTGATAATGTGAACAAAATGTGATATAATGTAGTTTGGAATACCTTCTACTTAAAAAGGTCTGTCAATGAAAAAAGATTGACGTACATGTGGTAATTTTGGACTAGTTATCCAGGTCCAGGAACGTTGTCGGGCATTCATTTCGATTTCTCACAGACATACATCTGATAGTTGAGCATAACTATGAACAAATTGACAAATTTTACCCCGCTCCTTGAAAAAGTCCTGGCAGTTTTTTCATTTATCCCATCACCCCTGAAAAGGGTGCCGATAATCTAGGTGGCCAAACCAATTTCGAGAAATAATAATGATAAGAGATCTTTCATACTTTATTCCACAATTTCCATGCAGGTCTTACGAGTGAGAGTTGGACCCAAAGACTATGAGCTGTCCGAGGTGTATAGTGAAGATGGCCGGAATATCACCGTGTCAACCAGTGCCGTCCATCATAAAGGAATCCTGCTCATCGGGTCATTACATGAACGAATGATGCGTTGCCAAGTTAATGCCATATAGCGATTCGCATTTTACGTTTCGAGTCAAGGAATATTTCTTTCATATTCTTAAAGCTGTTTTTGAGATCTGTAGCTATTCAATAATGATCAAATATGCATTTTTCTATTTTAAACAGACATTTTATCTTCTACATTATCATGATTATTAGATATTCATTTTGTCGAGTGTGGCAAATGAAGAATAATGTCTTGCCAAAGGACATTAGTGCCGTATCGGGGATCGAACCACGACCTTTGAATTGGCAAGTAAAGTGCTTAATGTGGTACTAATTGGCTATAAAGCGCGGGAGCTAGTATAAGATTCTTTTTTTCTCTCTCGCATTTATCATCATCAAATCTTTAAAATCTTAAGAAAAAAACTGTAAACTTCAATTGTATGCAGTTAATGCTGCTATCAGTACGTTATACGACACACGCTTTTTATGAAACTTAAAGGATATTGAAGATCAATTATACATACATGTACGTGGCCGTATTCGTCTTTTCTATGTTTTCAGTAGGCTTTCTTGTCTTTCGTATATCACTTTTTATCTTGTGGAGCATTTTGTGATTTACAACATACCATCATCTATTATTATTGTTATTCATATCGATGATGGTTGAGGAATATGTATACAACGAACTTATAAGGAAATTACTGATAATATTTTCATTGGTGGTTTATACTATAAAACTATTAAAAAAACAGGTCACATGTATTTGTTTTTGATTTAGAAGTTTGTTCATTGTTCAGTTTGATACTGGGTTTTAAGCTGTATTGGATCGTTTATTTTAATAAAACGATTTATGAGAGAATTATTCGTGACTTTACACGATACAACTCTGCAATATCATCGCGTAAGATTTGAGTGCACAGAAGGGGTAGCCGAGAAGGTACATTTAGATAAAAGGGAAAACGGGGACAGGAAAAAGGTAGAAAGAGAGAGAGAGAGGGGGTGAGAGGGGAGGAAGATGGCAGAGAGAGAGAGATAGAGAGTGGGAGATAGAGAGAGAGGAAGAGAAACACGGGAGAGAGAGAGATGGGAGAGAGATAAAGAGAAAGAGAGAAGGGGAGGAGGGAAAATACAGGAGAGAGAGAGAGATAAAGAGAGAGAGAGAGAGAGAGAGAGAGAGAGAGAGGGAAATATAAAGAGAGAGAGAGGGAAAGAGAGAGAAAGGGGTGGGAGAGTGGAAGGGAGCACCTAAACCACACCCTCTCTGTAGCTACGCCACCGTTAAATTGAAATATTGTAGGCACGACTACTGTGCAATCATCCTTCGCTTCTACCAGTCCTCGCTTCAACTGTATGTAGTCACACATTATCTCAACCAAACATGAAATCGTTCGCCAAGAGCCAGAAGGCTAATAACTGTATGTAAAGTATACATGCTAATGCTCTCCTTTATATACTCTCAGCTGACGAAATTATGTTGTAGAAGCAAAGACGAATAAGACAAAGTTTCATTCACGATTAGTAGCTATACGTATATATATCTCTGCGACTTTATTACATAATCAACTCAAATTTATACATCACTTTTCACAAATATCGCAAACTAAAAAAAATAGACTAAAAAAGCGAGGCAGGACAAATCAAGCAAAGGCGCTAATACAAACTGGCATAATCACACTTTACAAGTTTACATGAATAATACACTAGCTTAAAACAAGAAGGCTTTAATTATCAGCTGGTAAACAATAAATTGCAGTAAACCAAAGATGTTTCGAGACAATTTTTGCTGTTTTTTCACGAGTGTCCAAAATTTGATCCGTAATACAACATGAAAAGAAACAAATAAATTAATAATAAATTCAAAAAAAGTCAAAAGCATTACAGGATAAGGGTTAGGTTTGCCTTTCAGTTGCCAATTCAAAATAATTTAAAAATTCACCTAATTTATAGTACCATCGACAAACAAAGCATTTGTACATTCATGTCAACTATTTCTATTTCTTGTCACGTTATCGGTAAATCAAAAGCTCTATAAACGGATGATTAAGCATATTTTATTTACAGCAAGGTTTCCGACAAAGCAAAAATAGCACTTTAAAGCTATATTATAAGGCTACGTAATTATGACGCTGTACACTGTTGATTTAGCGTCCTCTCTGTTGATATTTTACTAACCTTTTTAAGATATTCACTTTTTCCTAAATATGAATACCTCCATTAGTTTAATTTACACAATTCTGGACCTTCCAAAAATTCAGTTCGTAAAATTTAAAATGTAATCAACGACGCGTATTCTTTCATATAGCACCCTTTCGAAAGGCGTTGTATGAGGCTAATTAAAAGTGAAATCAATCGGTATAATGACCACTCTTTAAATACCTTACACTTCAAGCAATATTTACATATAAAATGAAATTTTCTTCTTCAAAGCGGATTTTCTTGTTTTTGTGTTGTAAAAATAAAAAGGAAGTGCATAAGAGCTTTTTCAGCTATTGATGTCGCGTGAACAAAATTGATCTTTATACTCGCGGCAGTTAGACAATAAAAGAATGGCTTTGTGAGAAGGAAGATTGCAGAACAATAAGCAGAGTTTTACTCTACTACTTCAAGGTATTCGTTTTTATGATAATTGGACGGGAAATATGAGCCTAGATAATCCTTCATTCAAATCGAGTACACATCAAAGTAAGAATAAAAATAAATAGTTAATGACGGAGTGCGAACAAAATTGACTGGTCAATTGATAACACCACCCGGGGATGCAAAGTGAATTCATCTCCTATCTTATGATTTGGTCAATACATTTTCAATAGAAGAAAAAATAGGCTCTCTTGTCGGTAATGTACTCACAGAAATCTCTAAGAAGTTTTAAAACGCAATCCAACCCTTCTACTCATTTCATTTGACGAAATCAATGGAATGGGGAAACTTTAAAATAAACGGGACCAATGACAGGAAATTTATGAATGTTCCAAATATGAGATTTACTAAATCTATGCAAATCTCAAATTGGCAGTTTGGTCAATGGATTGTGAGGTAGTAGCGGATAACCCTCCCGTTTGTCTGTACAAAAATATCACTAATTTCTGTTTTTTTTTCCTAAGCGCCATCTCCCGTGGGGCACTATATATTGTGGATAGTATATTATCATATAGATGCTCTAAAGCGAAAAGACCATCTTGAGTCATACATTTTTGTGAAAAATTAAAATTGTAGTCAATTCTGTTTGTGTGTTGGAACAAATGGGAAGTTGTCCGCCACTACATCACAGACACATTATCGATTATGCTAATTTGAAGAGCTCTTTACCTATAATTACGAAAAAAAGAGAACAAAAAAGAAGGAAAAGTAATTGACTTTCTCCTTTATTGTCCAATTTCATTCAAACTTTCACAAGTCTCCTTCACTGATGTTTGTGTTGCTTTCCTCTAGAGTAGTTTGCTGTCAAGGTTGTATTTACCTTTAAATAATATATTTTCTCTCTGACCAAAATACCCATTTCATACTACAGTTTATATGAAGTTTGAACATAATCGCTTGTCTAAATATGGACCATTCAAACGAAAATGATAACAGATTAAATGATTGTCCATCTTTGTGTGCTAGAAGATTTGTCATCAACAAATTTATACCTATATTCACGCCCTTACACCTTTCTTATATATCATTTTTGCACCTAATATAATTTGTATCTACCTGAATTTTATAACAAAGTAGAATGCACATGGATTATCTGATGTGTAGTATTATACAATATTCAAATACATTTGTTATGTTCCGAACCGCATAAATGCCCAGTCAAAAACTATAATTCATCTCTGTATCATTATATAACTCTTATAACTTTATAATATGATTTTCTTTTTAGGGAGGGGGTTACGATGATTTAGAGCTCGTTGCTGAGACTGTTCGAAGTCGTCTCGAACTTCCAGACGCGATCGAGCCCGATGTCGGCCATGTATACAGCGCCATCTGGAGAGTAGGTGGCGATGTCGTGTACCACTCCGAATGCCTGAATTAAAGGGCAATACAAAAAAAAATACAACATGAAGAAAAACAAAGAATATTAACAATCGGTGCAAAGTCATCAAACCTTATATGAAAATTTGAAAATAGATTTTTTTACAAATTCCTCGTCCATTTCGAAGTAATCAAAGTTAGGATATGTCGTATATGCAACAAACATCAAGAATGGTGTACTTTTTCTGAGTGGTTTAGTGAATAAATACCAGCACAATGAAGACGCAACATAGATAAAAGATACACACCTCGCCAAAGTTTTAGTTTGACTAGAGTCAAATATAATTTAGAGTTACGAGACGCTATTACATTACCTTTAAGGGAAAGGAAAATGATATGAAGGACTTTAATCTCAAATCACAAAAATATTTCTTTCAAACCAAAGTATTCATACATACTATGAGAAGAAATCAAAACAAATACAACATAGGCCTAGTGTTATCTCAATACTGTCCTCACTTTGATGTATCGAGAAGAATCGTAATACGAGAAACAACCCGTAGGCTGTCACAATTAAAAATGGGTTATTATATAGAAGTCAAGATGTTAAGCAAATCTACGGGCGAATTAACATTTGGTTGAGTCATATCTGACCAGTGCTCACTTTCAAGTTCAACTTGGTATACCTCAAGACAGTATATCAGATAAAAAATGTGGCCATTTGTCAAATTTCGACCCAACGGACATCTAATAATATAATAACATTTACTTTATTATCCTTTGCTTGCCAGAAACTATCCTGAAATTGTGCTCCTCTTTTGAAAATAAACCCTGGTTCTGCATCTGTATAGTACTTTGTTGAGTGGGAGGGAGTACATACCTTAGGGTAGGGGTCCCATGTGCTCAGGACTTCACCTGTTTCCAGATCCACCGTGAATGCGAGGGGTGGTACTCCTACTTCCTCGTTGGGTCCATTAACCGTGTAAAGTACGTCTGTAATTCAATTTATTTCAATTGCAAAGTAACATACATTTCTTCAAGTATTTTTTCATACTTTGTGTCACATATCGATTACTAGGTTTACCATTTCTCATCCACTGAAACTTTATCATTGCATGAAATAAGTGTTACCTATTTGATTCTTTCTTATACAGAGAAATCCCAAAAATCTCTAACTTTGGCCACAAAGTCATAAATGTCATCACTTTCATTTTCAGCCCCAAATAATTTTTCATCTGATTTACTTTATGTGTCCCTATACGATCAGTCTGTTAATACGTTGATGAATGATTGCAAGACAATAATATTGGTTCATTAGCAAATGCAAGAACGAAACTGATTTTAAAAGAGAAAGCGTCGCGGTCCAAATGAGATTAACGTTTGATTTTTTTTCAGAAGTGATGATAACAATACCTTGTACACTGTTGTAGGAAATGGCGAAGAGTTGCTCTCCGAACATCGGTGACGCAATCTGTCGTTCTAACTCCCCATTGGTCACATTGAAGCACTGAATCCGGGCATTTTCACGATCAGCCACGCAGATGATATCACGTGACTCGATCAAGGCGAGACTGTGAGGTATCCGTAGTGATTTCAGTGGGGACCACTCTGCGAGGTTTGCTGAAAAGAGAAGGGTATCAGCCGATTATTGATCAAAATTGATCCACTTAGAACAAGCATGAACGAAATTTGTTAAGAGTTAGGTCCGTTGCACTGTTGCAACTGATGCGTTACTTGCCGCATAGATGAATGCGTCTGAGACTTAAAGGGGAAGTCCACCCTGAAATTAAGTTAGTTTTAATAGGAGTAGAAAAATGAGAGAAACAAGTCAGTGAAAGTTTGAGCAAATTCCGATTAAAAATAAGGAAGTTAGGATTTTTGAAGTTGTGATCAATCAAACACAAATTGGCAACTCTATGACGTATCATGCGAGCTCAACTTCCATTTGCTCAGTACTAAAAAAATCTAAAATTTTCATTTTCCCTCAAGAAAAATTTCAACCATACATGCACCCTAAATATAATAATTGCAAATATGTTTCTATACTCCCCCTGCAAGGAACAAATATATATTCCGTCATCAATAACGAAGAAAACATGATTTTATGGAATATTATGCACAAAGCAAATGAAGGAGAGCTCATATAATAAGTCACAGAGTTGCCAATTTGTATTTGATTGATCACAACTTCAATAATTCATAACTTTCTTATTTTCATTCAGAATTTGCTCAAACTTTCACTCACCTGATTTTCTTATTATTCTGCCTCTATCGAAACAAACTTATTTTGGGGGTGGACTTTCCCTTTAAGTGGTCTTTGACGCATTGTTTAAGAGCTACAACGTGCCAAAATTGAAAGCGACATGAACAGAACAAACATTGTGATAAATTACTCTCTTAATATCATTCACCGACTCAATGAGCGCACGCAGGTATTAATGCAATTGAAATGACTCCTCGTTTTGCAACGGGCATTAGAAATATTTATGTTAGACTTCAATGCAAACTTTAATGAACATGATAAACAAAAATCATGGATTCTCATTTAGATCGCTACAAAAGGTTTGGTGAAAGAGTAACCGGGACGTTCCGAATTCGAAACAATGTTGATGCACCGTCTTTTGGCAAAGTATCGACCTCATTCATGCATGAATTCTTTCGCCTATGGCTGATCTTCAACGAAACGGAGTTAAGTCTTTTGTCAATTCTGCTAGTTGCTACGGCAGGCAGCCAGTGAAAACGAATTCGTTTAAAATCAAATTATGGAAATGCCAGTACTACTTTAAACAAACAGAACTTTGTTATTTCTTGCTCATTTTTCCTTATTGAGGTGTCATATGAAAGGGCAGAAACTGAACTTTCTGGACATGTCATTTTCTCTTTGAAATTCAGATACCGTCCGCCAAAAGACTTTTTGGTTTCCTCTCTTCAAATTGATTTTGATCACTCATACGTCAGATATGCATCATATAAGTTGCATCAAATGAAAGAGGTGGATCTAAGCTTTACAAACATGTGTCATTTATTAATCATCATTGTGATTAAGTTACGATAAAACTTCGATAATTCTCGGTTTCGTTTTTTTCTGGGGCGCACTGTATATATATATATATATATATATACCTGTTTTCTTAGCAGTGAGGTAAACGCAACCATTAAGAGTATCATCATGGTTTGTTTTCCTCTAAGGAATGCTACTCCAAAACATTCTCTGAAATGCTTTCTCTTTTTTACGTTCTTATCAGCTGTGAGTTTCTAGGTTTGCATGGTCGAACAGGCAGAAATATATATTAAGGTTTACGGAAGCACTATTTAATAATAATTTTGATTGTGGAAAAAGACGAGTCTCGACATTTTTATCAGGGTGCTCTTTTTGTCGTCAGATCAGGAGTGACGACAAATAGAGCAATTCGTTCGAAACGTTGGAACTCTTGTTTCCTTAAACCATGATTACAGTTCTTTACAGAAATCTTAGCGAAAGAGATACACATTAAAGCCCTTTAAAGGACTACAGGTATATACAGGGAGCTTAAACTATATTTCTTATGATTGTATCATTAACATCATTTTTTCTCGAACGAAATGCTTTAGACTCACTCACCTCCTGGTATCGTGCCTGCTGTTATTTCCAGTAGTGCTGTTCCGTTCGAGCTGAACTTAAGGATGCGATTGTTGCAGTATCTGTATCGCATTGAAACAGAAATGAAAAAACGAAAACATATTAGAGTATAATGTGTTCAACGGAGGAAACTTGAGTAAAATGATAGTGTTGACTGGTGAACCAGGGACATTCTAGTAGGTCCATGGGTGAACTTAATCTCTTTGGCCCTTAGTCTGTCCGATCTAATCCAGGGATTAGTTGAGCGCCACTATCTCGTCGAATCGAATCGAAGGCCGAATTATTATTATTATTCACCCGGGAGAGACTGGGGGGGGGGGGGGGGGGTAATGGCTAATTATTGTAAGCAATGTGGAAATGTGTATGTTTTAAACTGGGTTTTGAAAGTAGATAGCAGTTCACATTCAGAAAGAAACTTCTGTCTTTATTCTGAGTACTCTATTAAGTATTGTACTAACATTTATCATGATATTATTTGTGATTAAATGCTTGATTTTCTTTTACAGATTGAATAATAGATGTTCTTAATTGGCAAGTGAATCAAAACGACATAAAAATCAATTTCCCATACCCGTCGGCGACGTAGAAATCTCCTGTCCTACTGTCGACAGCCACATCCGTGGGCTTGCAGAAGTGGTCCAAGTCTTGACCAGGTTCAAACTTGGTGCCCAGGATCAGAGATGGTTCTTTGGATCCTGCAGGAAACTTGAAGACCTGGTGTAAGGCTACATCTGTAATCCACATGTTATCTTCCGGGTCGATGTACAGACCGTGAGGCATGTAGAATCTATGTGAGACAGGAGAAAAGGGTTGTAAGACACATAATGGTCGGACCTCATCATTCAATTCAATCCAATTTTATATAACTAATGCAAGGCTTACATTATGTTCCCAGCGGTAGCACCAATCACGTTTCATGCCACCGTGGACAAAACGGGATGGACATGAGACGACTCGGGGGGGGGGGGGTGGGTCGGCGAATGGGGAAACGTGACAGGCCGTGATTGCCTAGGGCCAGATTTTTAAACTGTCCAAATTTTTGCCACGGTGCGGATGAGAAACCTAGTTTTCCATAGATAAACGGGTTGAACGCAACAGAACGTGACAGGACGTAATAAAAAAAAGCTTGGCAAGACCTATTCTTGTATACAGAGACAAAAATAACAATACATTGTTACATAAAAAGAACAAAATATAATGTATGAACATTGGTACAAAAATATCAAAGTTGCTTGGTAGGTAGCAGCCAGAAAGGAAGTCACCCTTAAAGGTGGCCGACCGAATCACCCCGCAAGGAAAGTTTATCACCACCTTCCCCCACAAGTACACTATCAGAGACTTGGAAGCAAGTTCGAGTAGTTTCCGGGTGGATAACTGAGTTGTGCTAAAATCGGCAACGCCACCAATTAATTCTAGTGTAAGCGAATTATGACGTAGTACTGTCGAGAATATGTCTTCAATTTCCATTTCAATGGCTATGCCGTATCATTACGCATGTAAATCTTATATCATCATGAATAGATAGCCTTTTGTAAAGATGAGAACCCGTTTGAAAAGATAAATTATTTACAATTATGTAAAATTGCGAAACAGAAACAAAAATTTACAACCTAACATGAGGCGTGAAAGGATAAGTAGATGAATTTGTGAGAAGAGTAATGTTATATCCATTACTAATAGTTTGGGCTAAATTACAGATTTTTAAGTTGGTTATTTATTTTAAAAATCAGAATGCTGTATATTTTATTTTTGTGTGTTCCCATGTTGAATATATCTTAAATGGAATGCAGAAAACTGTTCCATTATTCTATTAATAAGTAGTTTACTGATCTTTCAAAACCATAATAAAAAGACAATTTAATTTTTGATATAAATCATAAAGAATACGTATGACTCTTTCTCCCTCCCTCTCACTCTTTCTCTCTCTCTCTCTTCTGTCTCTCTTTCTCTATCAATATAATATATAAGTATATTATGTTTACATCTTCATTAGATTTCAAGGCGAGAAACACAGAAGACTATTTTTAGGGGTGAGAGGCTGAATGAACTTACAGATCACTTCCCCATGAGTCGATTACATTGCCGGTAGCCGGGTCAAGGGTCAAAATAAGTTCATCTGAAATTGGCTCGTCCAGCAAGAATTTGTCTTCGTCGTCAAAGTCACTAAAAAGAAAGGAATTTTAACAAATAACAAAATAAAATAGAAAGTAACACAACAAAAGCAAAATCATTATATTGTAATTTATTAAAAATAGTTAAGATAATTTTAGAAAAAAACTTGAGGAATGATAAACATTAAAAAATATTTTCGAGCAGTCGCCAAAAATATCATGGTTTATATCAAAGATCTAGATCTACATGTTTCTAACGAAAGCATAACTTTTTTTTTTCTGGGATCAAAACCCAAAACATATTGGACATAATAAAAGATACTTATGGATTTAAATAGAAATAAAGTATATGATAGCTTTATTAGCTTAAAATATGATATGCTAAAGTTTGATTAATCTCTTATTTCTGTTTAGAAGAAAAAAAACGACTCACATTTTCTACTTTCGTTTTGGTTTTGTCTTATCACTATTATGTATATCATACAATATCTTTAACAATAAAATGGAAATATAATATACAACAAACCCTTCTTACCCGTTTTCCCATCGCCTATCACCGCGATGAAGGAGGGATAGTTGACCGATGGAGTCGGTGGCTATACCGGCCACCTGACCAATCACACGGTCATCTTCACGGGGCCACCAGCCACGTAGTACCATACCATAGGTCATTGCGCTGGCAGAGTCCCATAGGTCCTGATTTTAAAACAAAATGGGGCACAAATGGCAAGTTGAACGTGTAGGTCAATCATTGTGTTAGTCCTATACGTGTTTCTGGTATGTATACACCCACACAATTCCCTTTTTAAAAATGTGTGACCTGTTTTCTCTCGCTTGTCTGAATTGTTCCCTCTGTTTACAATAATTTGGATTCTTATCTGTATGTGCAGGGTATATAATTATTTGAACTCAATTTAATATTTTAAAGTTAAGTCGGCGAATGGGTTGAATATTTTTTTCTTCAAAAAAAGATAAATTTATCCTTCGTTGAATAACAATAATGTAAAATGATTGTTCCTCAATTTTGCCATTCATGTCTTGACGCTTATTCGGTTCAAGAATAAACTGACTTGAAGTTTTCGATATTATTGTGTCTCTCCTCTTTCGCAAGTTACGTTACATCGGTCAGACAATACGGTTGTAACAAACAACAAAAAAGAAAGAAAACAAAAACGAGTCTTCGACGAACCTGAAGTCGCATGGACCAATCTGAAGAACTCTGGTAGACGGAATCCTCGTTGAGTGCGTTATCGATGTACGATTCTTCCCCATACTGGTAGGACGACTGCTGGTCGGAGCCATCCACTCCGTAATCGACACGAGGCTCGCTGCTGCTCATCCACTGTGAATTCTCCTCCAAGATCGACTGCAGGTAGTCGATGGCGGAGTACTCGCTCCCAAACTCCTCTTCGATGGCCAGCGATGAGCTGCTGCTCAAGCCAACCTCGTTACCGAGTTCGTCCGATTTGGAGGAATCGGACGTTTCTGTTTCGCAGTTGGGGTTTTTGAGAGCCTCTGAGTAGTATTCGACCGCCTTGATGACTCCTTTGTCTCCATCACTGATAAAAAGGAAAATAAACCATTTTTTATTCTTAATCTTATTTTGTTTGTTGGAATATTTTTAGTTACCTTGTCCGCACTTTGAGAAATTCAACAATGTGGCCTTTGAATGGACTGAAAAGAAAAGTATAACTATAAGTGGCTCTTGTTGTAAGAAATTACTATACAGTATACAAAAATTGTTTCCGCTATTAATCATGACAAACATCTACTTGAGTAAAGCGGAGACATTATTTTCCCACCATCTACAAAATGAAACGTGAAAGAAATTATTAAATGTTATCCCATTCAATAACTTCGAAGGAGAACATTAAAAAATGTGGCCTTTTAACGACTCTTCATCAATGATTAACTTGGAGAAAAAATGGACTGAGGATATAAGTGTGGAGATGAGTGGCAGTAAGAGTCAGAAAGCTGCATGTTAATGTTTTCATTATTATGTGACAAACACCTACACAAAGGACAGCAAAGGCATAAAGTTCCCACTACCCTGAAAACCAAAGGTGAATGAAATTGTTCAATATTATCCACTTTAGTAACTTCAAATTAGCAGAGTGTGATAAATTGATCACTCAATGATCCTTCATCAAATGTTTACTTGGGAAAATTTACAAGAATAGCGTTAACTGGCCCTCAGATTTATTCGACTCCTATATTCTTTATCAAGATTATCAACGAAAGGAATGAAAAGCTCTCTGAATAAAAATGAGATGGAAATAGAAAGTAGTATGCTAGATGAAAAGGGATATTGAATTTCAACACCAACTTATCCCTCAGGTTATTAACAAAAAATTGTTTATCTGTATTACCATTAATAAGAATATTAATTTTAGTTTAATCCGGATTGCGCATACCTGGAAGGCATTATCTTGAGAGCCAGGCCAGAGTCGTCTGCAAAACCACCTAGATAGGAAATAGAGAAAAGATGTCGATGATTATTCTGAGAATCTTGTAGGTGTCAGTATATAGCATCTGCTCACAATCAGTATGGTGTTAACTGAGTGTTAGAGGATATGTAATGCCCTTCTGGCTTAAAACAGACGATAGAACAATTCAAATGAAAAAGCAAGAGAACAAAGAATACTAAATATTTTAAAGAATATTACATTGCTTCGTTATTTGAAAAAGAGAGAAGTTGTGATGAATGGACGCAATACCCCGATAGTGCATTCTAAATATTGTAAAGCTATGATACGTAATAATTTCTATTAAAAGATACACGATCATTCGATATTGTTTGAATACCCAACAGTAATGTGGAGAGCCTCTAGACAGAATTTTTAAATTCTTTTAGGTGATCCTCAGGCATTGGCTGATGCTAAATATCATGATGTTTACAGTATGTTCTATCATTTGTTAACCTTGTGATGTTTTGTATGTTATCATCTTGCCTGGAAATAAAATGAATAAATAAGTGAAATAAAATAAAAAAGCGTCTTGGAAAGAAAAGGACTTTTGAAAGAAAAAACTTATTACGAAATATGAATTTTTGCCGTAAATTTGATGCTCACACTCTATATCATCTGTTGAGACTCTTATTAAAACCTTTCTTATTCTTTGATGGTATTACAATAGGCTTTATTGATAGGGGAATAATGCAGTGGTAGTGTGAAGCGGCACTGGCAATATTGGGGAAGCGGAGGGGGAGGGTACTACTCTCACTGGTTAAACAAAAATGCTAATTAAAAAAATCCTTCTTATTCACGGGATGGTGTAGAATGACGACATACTGCCTACTTTTCTCACATTTCCCCCATTTTTCTGTCATTTCCCCTCTTTTTAAATTCTTTTTCCCCTGTGTCCCCATGAAGCTAGGGCAATGGAGTTATGGATACTGTTACCAAGTACCTTTCTTGTCATTGTGCAGAAGCCTTTCTTTTATACTTAATTTAAGCTTGATCAAGTGTGGGGAGGGGAGGCACATGCCCTCTGAGCCCTCATGTAGCTACGCTAATGGAGTATTGGATACATTACCAAACTAACCTATCTCGTATTGCACCATTAACACCACAGCATGCATAATAGCCTTTTCACATATTAGATATCAGACTGTGTCAAATACACTCTATTTCCTTAAAGGCAGGCGCGGATCCAGGGGGGGGGGGGCCGAGCGGGCCTTGGCCCCCCCCCCCCGCAAAAAAAAAAAAAAAAAAAAAAAAAGAAAGGAAAAGAAGGGAAAGGGAAAAAGGAGAAAAAGGGAAAGAAAGAAGAGGAAGAAGAAAAGAAAAGGGGGAAGAAGGAGATCAGGGGGCGAAAGGGCCTTGCCTCCCAGGCTGTTCCCCCCCCCCCATCAAAAAAAAATAAGAGAGAAGGAAGGAAAGGGAAAGAAAAAAGGAAAAGAGGAGATACTGGCGTACTGATAGAGGGGGGGGGGGGGCTTGGGGGAAATCAAATTCAAACGTGGTTTATTTCTAATTCCACAACGGTGGATTACAAATAATGCTGAAATGACATAATTTCCGAAATTTTTCCTCACTTTTTAGTAAATTATACGTTTGTATGTGTTTGTTGAAAAATGACAAATTCCTAAATTTACAACCAGACAAAAAATATGATTCTTGAGATTCGTACATGTCAGGGCCCGAGGTACGGCGGGGATCGGGAACCTCGAGCTCCCCCCCCCCCTCCCCCACTTTTCTTGACAAAGTATATTAAAGAGAAATAAAATAGAATGAGAGCAAGAAAGTGAGAATAGTTAACTGCCAGTGTTAACAAAATAATGAGGCATCAAAATATGCTCATCTGACCTTTATTAAACGCCTAAAACCCCTGAGCTTCCGGGGCCGGCTCCGCCGCCTCGACCCCACCAGGGGCCCTAAGGCGGGCCCCTGAATGCTTATCTGATCGTAATTTATTGCCTTAAACCCCTGAGCTTGCGGGGTCGGACAAGGTATCAAGATGTGTTTATCTGACCACAGGCGCGTAGCCAGGGGGGGGGGGGCGGTCCCCCCTCCAATCGGAAGAGGACGTAGGAAGAAAAAGGAGCAGACAAAGAACATCTTTGAAATTCAGACAAGGATTAAGAGTATAGAGAACGGTACAACGCATCGTTTTCTTTCTCTAATAATAAAACGTCAAAGCCTCGCGCAGGAGGGGAGGGGAGGGGGGGGGGGCTGAATTCAGACGAAGATTCAGAGGCGAGAACGGTAATACGAATCTTTAATGATTTAATGAAACGTAATAGCTTCTGCGCTTCGCGCGGGATGGAGGGGAAACTAAATTCCGATGAGGTTTATTTTCGAGAACGGTACAATGAATCGTCTTCTTCTCTAACGATTAAATGAAGATTAAAAGCTTCCGCGCTTTGCACGAGAGAGGGGGGGAACCTGAATTCAGACGAGGATTAAGAGTCAATAACTGTACAACGAATCGTCATTTTTCTCTAATGATTTAATAAAACGTAGAAGCTTCCGGGCTTCGCGCAGGAGGGGGAGGGGGACGGGGACTAATTTTAGAGAAGGATTAAGAGTCGAGAACTGTACAACGAATCGTTTTCTTCCTCTAATGATTTATTGAAACGTAAGAGCCTCTGCACTTCGCGCGGGAGGGGGGGGGACTGAATTCAGACGAGGATTAAGAGTCGAGAACGGTACAACGAATTGTCTTCTTTCTCTAATGATTTAATGCAACGTAGAAGCTTCCGCGCTAGGCGCAGGAGGGGGAGGGGGGGGACTGATTTTAGACAAGGATTAAGAGTCGAAAACTGTACAACGAATAGTTTTCTTTCTCTAATGATTTATTGAAACGTAAAAGCTTCCGCGCTTCGCGCGGGAAGGGGGGAACTGAAATCAGACGAGGATAAAGGGTCGAGAACGGTACAACGAATCGTTTTCTTTCTTTAATAGTTTAATAAAATGCCAAAGCTTCCGCGCTTCGCACAGGAGGGGGAGGGGGGCTAAATTTAGACAAGGATTAAGAGTCGAAAACTGTACAACGAATCGTTTTCTTTCTCTAATGATTTAATGAAACTTAAAAGCTTCCGCGCTTCGCGCGGAAAGGGGGGGGGGAACTGAAATCAGACGAGGACAAAGGGTCGAGAACGGTACAACGAATCGTCTTCTTTCTTTAATAGTTGAATAAAACGTCAAAGCTTCCGCGCTTCGGGCAGGAGGGGGAGGGGGAGGGGGTCTGAATTTAGACAAGGATTAAGAGTAGAGAACTGTACAACGAATCGTTTTCTTTTTCTAATGATTTAATGAATCTTAAAAGCTTCCGCGCTTCGCGCGGAAGGGGGGGGGGGAACTGAAATCAGACGAGGACAAAGGGTCGAGAACGTTACAACGAATCGTCTTCTTTCTTTAAAAGTTTAATTAAACGTCAAAGCTTCCGCGCTTCGCGCAGGAGGGGGAGGGGGGGGGGGACTGAATTTAGACAAGGATTAAGAGTCGAGAACTCTACAACAAATCGTCTTCTTTCTCTAATAATATAATGAAACTTCAAAGCCTGGGAGGGGGTAACTCGCCCCCCCCCCCTTCACCGACCCCCCCCCCGCCCCCGCATGACGTCACTGTTGGTCGCCATTACGTACCAATATTTGGCTCGCATAATTTCAAATTTGGGCCCCCCCCCCCCTAAGAAATCCTGGATCCGCGCCTGCTTAAAGGGACACAGTGATGGGTTCTCATGAGGAATCCGACACTATTTAGGTGTTTATCCGATACCAGCTGGTGTCAATCACGCATAATGGACGTCATTTGAATGACCGTCAGGTCTTACGTATAGTGTCCCTTTATAGAAAGGGACACTAGTCTTACGTAATGAACTGCGCCCTCGACTGACTACCCCATATGGAAATTTCATAATCATAAATTTCTTTCACCCTTGAGATGCGACAGCAAGCTGGGGATAGTTTTCTGATGGATCATTGTTCTGCTGCCTGGGGGGTCTGTACACACATCACGTCATCAGTTGGCAATTCAACAAATTGTGGCCTCAGCGATCAGCGACTTATGACGCAATGTACATGGAAACAGATCACTAGTTTGGCCAGGGGGGATTAGACCTCCCTGCAAGGTCACTGACAGGTGGTCATCTCATCAAATCAACTCTCAATTAACATAAGAAATGGGGATCATGGGGGACCAACAGGCACCGATGAGGCATTGTTTGCTGTATAGAGGGCGCATGTAGCTATAATTAGTCGAGCTGATTGGTAACATCAGGGCTGTTACCAATATCATGACTATTCTTTAAAGATGGCAAAAACACTATCGAGAGTTGAGTTATGAATATACTTCTTTACTCACCTTTCTTGTAATTCACCATCAGAACCACATTGTGCATAAAAGCGCCACCAACGGTAATAGCATCTCCCATGGCAAGATAGTTGTCGCATCGATCACGTGACCATTCGAACATCAATGCTATCGGTCCTTGGCATATACCGCTCGTGTTTTTGGTATTGCATGACCTGAATGGATAGAAAATGATACCTTATTAATAAGGTGAGCATGTTCATCATTTTCTCTTTCCATGTTTTAATCAAATATATTGGTTTTAAAATATAAAAGGACAACAAAATAATGAGAAGATAGTTATCTCTCGCTTTAACAATATGGAACAAATGGAGATGGTATATATCACTGTATATACGACCGTACAAGGATGTCATCATAACTACCGGAGTACTTCTAGAGAAATTTTCATACCGTTGTCGCTTTCCCATAATCTTTTGGACTGATTCTTCAGCCATGACAGCATGCATTTTCACAGGCTAAATATCACCTCTGAAGGCATTATTTAACAATGTTTCTAGTTTTACAAATCTGGGATTAATGACCCTACGTGTTTTTGAAGCCCTAAATAAATTGCGCTTCAAAATTATAATGAAGTGCTTCAAAAAAGTAAAAAATTTTGAGTGACCGGTTTTACCATACTCATTTTACCCAATGAGATGTAGTGTTATAATAACCATCGGGGAAAAAAATTGAGTGACCGGTTTTACCATAGTCATTTGCCCCAATGGACTGTAGTGTTATAAAAACCATCGGGAAAACGGTTTTTTAAAATTTCGAATTTCAATTATAAATATCTTGATAATTAAACATGCGATTGGCTTGTGAAAGTCATAGGATTCATTTCTGACCTAAAGGTTTATAATTATGATCGCAACATGATTAGCTAAATCCAGGATTTTGTTTAGAATCCGAGGCAAAGATACCCAATCCCTTTAACATAAGTAGCTTCTAAATCTGCCCAAGCGGTTGTCTGCTGGGATTTTCCAAATGGTCGGTCAGGCGTTCAAAAACGTGTTCGTGTTTATAGGTACCACCAAACAACTCGGTCAGATGATATTCCCAAAGCGACAAGCAACTCAATCCAGGACAAGACTATACGTCTCAATCTACTGTAGATTAGAAACGGACAGTCACCAAATCTGTCCAGCGTATGTGGTGCAACTGACTGCTTTCTTTCATCACATAATGATAATCTGTTAATATTTTAGATGTTCAGCTAGTATAACTTTCTACCAAACTGGACCAACTAGAAATCAGATTTAGGCGACGTTCTTCAAAAGTGAGCCACTCGATTGCACTTCTGATGTTTACTTTGTTTTATGTATCTCCTATATTATGAAAGAATTATACAGAATTTTTTGTTGTTGAAGAAATACATTTAATTATTTCTTATAATATTCTTTCCTGTCAGGTAAATGATATAACTCCCAGATTCGGTATGTCACCATTGATAATACAATGCGTGATATAACTGAGGGGGAAACCCTTTCCATAATCCGAACTCTTATAAATGATCATTAGCAACATAATGATGAGAGTGACGTTCATTTTAATGAGCAGTAGTTTGACATTTCCCCCTTATTTTCACGCACTCCATGCAACAGATTCACCAATGTGGTGGATTGCCACACACTATCGTCGCGCACTTCAATAAATAATGTGATTTCGATGAGAAAGGGGCACGACAAATCAAGCTTGGCATGCCCTAATTAAGGAAAATGTTCATGTGTACATCATGTGACTGGGAGGAATACCAATTTCTTGGATTCATCTGACATTACCAATAGTCTTGTGTGCTAGCCGCTTGGTCCGGGCAACCGTAGAGCGCCATATGCGTGACAGCGTTTTGGTTGATCAGTGGGCTGAAACCGACTGGGAAGATGAAAGACAAAGACTAATATTATTACACATCATCGTCTGAAGGCTTTCACACTCGGGTGCGGCCATTTTGAGGAGCATGAAGTGGAAATGAGATGTTTGATGGAGACTTGATAGAATTACTGCATGACAGACCAAGAGGATAATCGGCTAAGTATCTACGTAAGCGAAATATGATAATGACGTACATAACTGTGTTTGCAATAGAGATGAAAATATCATAGGTCATTTATAGCTACAAAAATATGTACCTAGGAAAACATACCTTATTCCAAACTCATTATGTGCTAATTGATGAACAGAAATTATTGTTATATTCTTTCATCATTTATCGGGGTAAAAACATCGTGATAAAGTAATATGGGCCTACGTAAAATAAATAATTGACTTGAAAACATCAAATAAACATCAACAGAATCCAACGGAAAACATTTTCAAACGAATTATCTGCAATCTGGTTTCAGCGAATAAGCTAAGAACATAGATAATAATCTAAACTTAGAAACACACAATAAAGGCCGATCGAAATTAATTTTCCTTAAACTTAATTTTCGCATTTTGTAGAACTCCCGGCATAGCATATATGGAGAAAACATGAAGAAGGTGAGACCAAATATAGCACGCGGATGACTATTGCCATCATTTTATTCTTACAGGTTCCGAACGTTAACTTCACAATTGAGTTTCACATACCGAAGCAGTTCTTTATTGTGCCATTTGCCTTGAATTGAATTCATAAATGTCATATGACAAATTGAACACACGCTGGCTATGCGTGGATCTATGTAGTCAAAGGCAACAGAAAGTGTGAAAATACCATATCGATCGCAACGTGATGCGATATTGATCGTGCAAGATGTTGCTTGGCGCGAATATCCTTGACAACCGTGCAATTTGTCCACCCGCCTTCCAGAAATGAGGTACACTAATGGACTTGTGAGAAACAAATATGAACTACGAGAAAAAATCAACTGAAAATAGTTATTGCTGTTTTGTGTGAAACTTGGTGCAACGAAATTGTAAAATTGAAAAAACTGACCATATTGAATGCCTAATTATATTGTTATGTCCATGTGCACACTCTATAAAAGCTTATTTTCGACCCATCCCCCCCAAAAAAAAAACAACAACATGATAATGAAAATACAAGAAATCAGTAAATATATACAAAAAAGTAGAAACATATACAAGAACTAGTACACTAGAAAATGCAGTTTTTATTTTTAATGAAGCTCGTTATCATTCAATATTCGAGTCATTCATATCAGTCATTTAGGAGAGATTATGGACCGACTTACCAATGTCTTGTAGAGCCTCTGTCAATGACGTCGATGTGCATAGCGTTGTGCCACTCTGAATAACAAATGACAAAAAGATACATTTTAAAACATCGTCGACTAATTGAATGTGATGTTTAAAAACGGACATTAGAGAAAAACAAAGCAAATTCAAAACAGCATAAATCAGTTAAGGGAGCCAGAGGGACAGATAGAGGGAGTAAGACAGAGAGAGAGAGAGAGAGAGAGAGAGAGAGAGAGTATATTTTTTTTTGGGGGGGGGCGGGGAAGAGGAAGAATAGGGGGAGAAGGAAAGAGAATAAGCCCTATTAAAAACATAGTGTTCTATGTTTCTCGCATAAATATCTAATAAGGATATGGACATATTATAGTCATAGATATATATATGTATGTATATGGAGAGAGAATGAGAGAATGAAAGAGAGAGAGAGAGAGAGAGAGAGAGAGAGAGAGAGAGAATGGAGAGAAACACATCTATTTACGAAAGCACACCCTTGTTCCTACGTCAGCAAACAACGCCTCGTGTGCACTGCCCACTACGCGCGTGACCAATGAGGAAAAAAAGAAGAAAAATATCCCTTATAAATCGACCATAACTATTATTCATCATCCATATTCAATCACCTCTCGAGATGTTCCTGTGGGTACTGCTACAGAAAATCAACAATATTTTTCACCTTTGATATCTGGCCAAGTTGATAGGATCAGCTGGGAATCGACCATCCTCTAATTCAATAAAGGAAAGAGCATTGGAGTCCTAGATCTTACGCATTAGAAATGAGTTGGTGCCGGGGGAAAGCAGATTAAAATTGTTCTGCCAGACGCCGTCTAAAAATAATAATAGACAACCGTCAAATATCTTGGGATTTGAATCACGTTTCAATCAGAATCGTATGTATAGAGAGAGAGAGAGAGAGAGAGAGAGAGAGAGGGTGGTTGCAAACCTTAATAACTCAGTCACACCGCCAGACCGACCCTAAACCGGCCTTAAACCGAAATCTGTGCCAATATTTTATTGGTCGGTTCGTGGTTTTTAAGACGGACTGTATAGATCGAGGAAAAGGGGAAATATAAAAGATAAGATAATGAGACAGGAAGGGAGAGTGGAGAGACAAACGTGATGTTTGTATCACCTCTGACACCCTCCCTACATGACTGCCTTGCTCTCTCGCATTTTATCAACTAGTACGACCCCACTAAGTTATCGGTAGCGATGCCTGTCTCAACGCCCCCAGCTCCATGGGAATACATACTGGCTATTATCTTTTCTGACTCCAAAATGTAGACAGTCATTGGAAATAAATTACTTTTGCTCATTGATAAAATGGATGTATACTGGTATCGTATGGAAACAGGCTCATGTTGATGCAGGTGTAGTGTTTGTCAACTTCTCATTATTTCCAACAAATGATGCGGGTTCTCATCACAGGAATTGAGAAAGAACAAGGAAAAAGAGAGAAATAGATAGGGAGATAGAGAGGGAGAAAAAAAAAGACAGACGGAGAAAGAATGAGATAGTGGATATATATATATATATATATATATATATATATATATATATATATATATATATATATAATATATGTATATATATATATATATATATAGAGAGAGAGAGAGAGAGAGAGAGAGAAAGAGAGAGAGATACAGAGAAGTTAAGATAAAGATATAAACTGATAAATGATAAGCCGGGAAAAGGGGGGGGGGGGTATGTGAAACTAAAATTAATGAAAGATATAGAGGAAGAGCGGGGAATAGAGAGATAATAGTACAGTTCTTATAAAGCGCATAATTTTGTTAACATCTCTACGCGCTGTAGGAAAAATGAAAAAGAAAAAGTAAATACTAGTAAGGAAAAAGAATTAAAAAAAAAAAAACACTGCATGGTAATATTCTACACAGAAGGACCTGTATGAAGGATTTGTTCACCTCTTATTAAAGAGATACGTTTTTAGAGAAGTCTTGAACCTATCAATGGTATCCGCATGTTTAATATTATAAGGGATGTTGTTCCATAATTCAGGGGCAGCATGCCCGAAACTGCGTTTACCGTAAAATTGAGTTGAAATGTGATAGAAAGAGAGAGAGAGAGATGACATGTATATGAATGTAATAGCCCTATATATCATATTGAGTTTGTATTTGGGGATGAAGTATATAAGCTGATTAACGTTACTTATTATATAACGATTTGGTTTATATTAAAAATCATTTTTCTCATTATTATGATTTTGATGATTGTAAAATTCAATTTCGTTGTTGTTATTATCATTACTATCATTATTATTATTATTATTATTATTTTCATTATTATTATTATTATGATCATGATCATTATCATTATTATTATTATCATTATTATTATTATCATTATTATTACTACTGTCATCATTATTATTATTATCATTATCACTAAAATCGCCATCATCGCCAATTCACCATCATCATCACCATCACCACCACCATCACCATCATCATCATCATCATCACCATCTTCATCATCATCATCATCACCATCATCATCATCACCATCATCATCATCATCATCACCATCTTTATCATCATCATCATCATCATCATCACCACCATCATCATCATCATCCTAAGCATCACCACCATCATCATCAACATCATCACCACCATTATCATCATCGCCATCATCATCATCAACATCATCACCAGCATCATCATCATCACCATCATCATCTTCATCCTCACCATCATCATCATCATCAGCATCATCATCACTGCTTTATTTATTGCCTAGCAACGAACTACTTGGTGTCTTAATGCGACTCATATATAACAATCATTATAGCCGTTTATTCACTCCGTATGGTGCATAAAACAGTAATCATACCTTAATGAAATAACGATAAATATTTCGCTATTTCCTTCAATAATATTCTTTCCAGTCTTTATTTTGATTTAGCCTTCAAAGACGCATTGATGTGTGTACGGTATAAGCTTAGTACCATAGTCGATTAAACACATTAGTCACATTCGCTCAACCGCATGCGTTGCTAAGTGATATGAACTGCGCAACAAAGAACTCGGCAAACGGAATACCACACGCATTGCCACTTATCTCCATGTAAGTGTTGTAACAATAATTTCACAGACTGTTATATTCGACGAAGCCGACGTTTGACCCAAAATTATCATAATGATTATCATTCTAACCGAGTGTGTACCCGGCGCCCGGTGTTTACGATTCACAGGTAAACGAGAATGCATTAGTCGACTGTAACGATGCAATAATTTATTGACTTTTCTTAATGAACGCCTTGTATTCATTTATGAACAAAGAAGTATGTCGTATGGTAAAGGTTACACGTTTACGGAGCCCCTGAAATGAGCCCTCAATATCGACGTTTCAATTAGCGTGTTTTAATTCTAGAGATAATCACAGTGGACCAAAATCGATGGAGAAACATTGATCAAGGCTTCATTCTTTCTGAAAGGAAACCTCACCAAAAGTATAGGTGTAGGTATTCTGAAAAATGAGATGTATTCCTGCCCTTTGATGAATAATATTCATTACGAAAATGTACAAGAGATATATAAATGAAGATATTCTGACCATGATGTGATGCCTTTTAGCATGACATGGTCGCAGTCATTTTCTTGAAAAATGTGACATACCAGGTGAAGTTGTACATGTATCATGCACTAAGCTCCAGTTGAAAAGACTTTTTAAATCAATAACAAAATCGCATCCATACATTTGAAACCATTTATTTGATAAACGACTTCACATAGTACGTCACGTTATCAAGAAAAAGGTGATGCCCATGACGTGCTGAGAAACTGTACGAAAGTCAAACATTTTTGCTTTATACCTCCATCTCCAAGTTTGGAAGCGCTTAGTGATTCTAATAAGCGCTATATAAAAACTGAGTATTATTATTATTATTATTATTATCATACACTTAGGTGGGGAATCTTGCAGATTAATGGAAAAGAATATAATAATTCTCTCAGAATAAGTTAAGGTATATTTGGGTATGGTTTCCTTTAATATCCGTTGCACATGAATTAAGTGACATTTCGGTTGTGTTATAGGCCATTTTCGTAATGTAACCAATTTTGATGCATACGTCTTTGTAAAGTGCCTCGATACGAATAATGTCAGTCACCTGTCACAAACCATTGTATTTCAATAGTCAGAATACAAAATGCATATAATTATTATTGTTGTTAAGAAGGGCAAGCCATAATGTGTGTCCTACCTAGCAACAGCTAATCAGTATGCAATTCAAATTCTGACGATTCATTGTAGGGTGAATGAAAAATGAATGAAAGGCAAATGATGCTTCGTGTGTAAAGCATCAGAAAGAATTTCAACTGAAATTGGTATGTACAGTTTCATATATTTCTAATTCAAAAATCACAAACAGTGTTTTCAACGCAAACATCAGACCAAAATATTATAGGAATACAAATCGCAGTTATTTGTTTGCACTCATCTTGTCTTTACTCTCTATTCTTTGAACCTTATTGATATATAACTCGGATGTCCTAGAGACTTTCCCGTTTCATTTCCATCCGGTTAAAAAGAAATCATGGATCCTCTTCCAGTGGTTACCCCCCCCCCCCAATGATCTTGTTTGATTACCTGTCAAAATAGCCATGGGAAGCCTGTGCAGATCGTGTAGGTACATGTAGATCCATTGTCCATTCCTAGGCACTGCCGTTGGGGTTTACTCCCATTTACGAAAGGCACATTTCTGAAGCTCATGAACCGTTGATTGATTAGTTGGTTACTTTTGTTCATATGCCATGTCAAATTAACTATGCATAATATATTTTACAAAACATTAACACTTCCTTGAGAAATAAGGAAATAATTAATCCTGAATCATAGTAATAAATAACTTGAAAGAATGTTTTGTTAATCATTAAATACGGAAATGAAGAGTAAACCTACTTAAAAGCTAAACATGTTGCACTGAAGCTTTGTTGCAACATCAGTTCTTGTTGACAAAAAACTCAAATGTACAGTTCGCTCGCGGGACGTACTTTATACCTCTGTCGCTCTTCTAAGTCAACTTTCAGCCTTTTAAAAGCTAAGTCTTTGGCTTCAACATAGATATTGTGTAACAGGAAAGTGGAGGAGAGGGCGACGAGTGAGACAAATATAAAGGGTACGAACGTCAGCAGTGGCGTTGTTCAGAGGAGCACATGGAGAAAAGTGTCCCTCCCACATTCAAGTCTGGGGAGGGAGGATAAGGAGAAGAATAAATAGACCAAACGAGAGGAGGGGGGGGGGTGATAAATAGGAAATAAAACGCTTCTCCCTCCCCACATCGATAGCCTTGTTAATCAACATTTAATCAACATGATATCCAATGAGTAAGATCGATGCCCCTCCCTCCCTACCTCCTTCACGCTGGTGCCCCCCTTAATATTAGGACACGATAAGCTTCCTAACTGCACGTCAGCAATATGCTAGCTCCATAGTTTACATTGATACTTCTACCCTCCCCTCTGCGGTGCCCAAAATAGAGGACTCAGTGAAAATGTCAACGATTTTCAAGAGCCATTTGGTGAATTGGAAATGGTTCTCATAAAAGTCGTAGTACAAATTCAGGCAATTAGCATTGATACTCGTGGAGGCTTTTGATGGAGAAATTCGCACTTGATGTGGATTCTGAAAAGAGCCGGAGAGAGAGAATCGGGGATTTCTCTTAATGTTCGAATAACGTTAATCGACTAGCTTTGGCGGAGTCTTTGACATGTGACGTGCGAAACTAGCCAATGGCGTGAGAGAATAAGAGTTGCGGCGCCGTAAAACTGTGGAACCTAAAATAACATGTTGATGGTAAACATGGTAGGCCTACTGTACGGCCTCGAGACGGTTGTTTGATTTAGAAACAAGATTACACTCGAATAACCTAGTTACCTGGAAAAAGAATCGTTCATAATAGAATTCTCTTCATAGCACTTTCTCATGTGTGATACGTTTGCAGACATTTCTGATAGAGTCGCTTTCATAGTTATCTATCACCATTACAAACATTCCTTGTAATCACTTTGTAATATCAGTGTCTTCTATGAGCAATCGTCCTATGTTATGGAAGTATATAAATAATGATATAAGAAAGAAGTTACAATGGTGAAAACTTTTGAATCCATAGGGAATTAAAAAAAACACACATTTCAAGGATATGCAGATATATACAGATTGATATACAGTTTTTAATGATAAACGCAAATTGAATAGGCCAAGAACTAAAATATATCTACTG